AAATTACACTTGAGATAACTGGGTAGGAGGGAGTTGGTTAATTCTCTCTGGAACACACTGACTTTTGTTTAGTTTTGTCTGTTTGTTTTAGGGTGTTTTTGATGGGGGGGGTTGTTTTGTTTTTGAGACAGAGTCTTTGTGGCCTTGGCTGGTCTGGATCTATGTAGCTGAGAAAAACGCTGAATTCCTGATCCTCCTGCTTCCACTTTCCAAGTGGTAGGCTTGTAAGCATGATATTAACATTTTAAATTGGGGTTTTCCTATGCTAAAACTACAAAGTGGCTGTAATCAGGCTTTTCAGAATTTCCAAAACGGGGTCAATGACCCAGCAGAACTTAGGAAAAAGAGTTTCAGTGCTCACTCTCATGATTGAGCCGCTTCTACATCCATAAACTTACGCTGCACCAACCCCTGGGTCTCCCCGTCTGGCCTGCGGTGGCGTCAATATCAGTGCCACGGACCTATCACCTCCCTCCCCAGCTTTGCCGTTCCTCCGCCCTGGCTCAGCCACCCAGACTGCAGTACCCACCCCTCCCCGGCGGCGGGGCGTCCATCCCAGCTGCGAGCACCCCATCTCTGTTTTCTGCCGGTTCTGCCCGCCTCCGGTGGGACTCTGCCAGGCCAGGCGGAAACTCAGAAACAGATTTAGATGCAAAATGAGTCTGAGCACCTACTCCAGCCCAGCCCAAACCTTAACTCGGCATCCAGAGAGAGTTGTGGCAGGAGGGACAGACAGCTTTAGGAGCTCAGGAAGGTGAAGGTGGCGGGCTGTGACCACACTTCTGCTAGATTCCCTTCCTCACCAGAGGTGAGGATGAGGCTGGCTGCCACTAAGGAACAACTCACACCCCACCCGACCTCCCCAGGGGCAAATCTGGCTAACCCAGGCTGGGACAGGAGTCGCTACTCCACTGGGTACCTGGGCTGGAAGAGAGAAGAGCTCCCCAGGGCTCTGCGCAGCTCGTTCTTGAAGCTCCAGAATTCTCCGTCCAGGTAGCGGTGCAGGGACGAGTCCCCAAGGCCCAGGTCGGGAGTCGGCTCCATCTGTGTGGTTGAGGCTGCAGGCTGTTCTTTCTACACACCTCCTCAGAACTCTCGGCTTATGGGCCCTCCTACCTATCATTCCACTAGACTGGTTTCCTCCCAGCTGACTGGCCTGTCTCCTCCCTCTTCACCTGTCCCTCACACGCCCTCCCTCCTAGGCTTGAGGCAAAGAGCTGTCCAGAGCATTTGAGCTCCACCGGTGTGCTCCCATCCTTACTAGGAACCACGCATTAACTCTAAGCCCTTATCCCACCAGTAAGTTGTCTCTCCAGATTTGTGGATCACTAGAAGCAAGCACCAGCTCCTTGAAAGGGATGCTGGTCTGATTTCTCTGGGCCACAGCCAGATGCTCAGCGTTAAGCCATTTCATCTACTCAACAGAACCACCCGCCCAGCCATTTGGCCTGGCTCCCAGGACCTGAGGTGGTCTGGTCTCTGCTCAGATCCCACCACCCCAAACTGGGCATTATGTACCTTCAATCTGGAGGCTGTACAAACCTACAGGATGGCAGGACAAGGTACTTGGGAACTACAGACAGAGGTAATGAACACAACTCACCCACCAGGAATCTCTATCTATCCATCTATCTATCTATCTATCTATCTATCTATCTATCTATCTATCTATCTATCCCCATTATTGCTGTGGTCATATACAAGAAAATGTCCGCTTCTCCCTTCCTTTCAAAGGCTACTTTGTGCTGTCTTCAGGGCAGGGGATGCCACCTCAAGGAGTAGTTTCCTTTGACTCATAAATTACCACAGGTTGATTGCCTTAGAAGGCACAAATGTAATTATTTATCGTCCCAGAAGACAGAAATTGAAGCTGGATTTCCCAGGGCTAAAATCGAGGTTTTGGTAGAGCTGGGTTCCCTTTGGAGGCTACTGGGGAAAAATCTGTTCCCATGGCTTTTTCTAGCTTTGGGGGGCAGGGGGGGAGGCTACCTGCATTCTTGCCTCTCTGCTCCTTTCTCTGGCCTCGAAGACCATCACTCCAACCTCTGCTCCCAGCATTCCATCTTCTTTTCTTCTCACTAGCCTTCTTGACTCCCTCTTAAATGATTCTGATTCCACCTGTGTAATACAGGATAGCCTTCCTATCTCAACATCCTGAAGTCACATCAGCAATGTCACCTTTGCCAAAAAAAAGGCCACATAAGTATTATTGGTGGGCCATTTGTGTAACTTCAAGAAGCAATACCCACCTGATGGCAGAGAGTAACATCCCTGTTCCCACGTAATAGGAATCCAGGAGGTGGGAGCATTCAGAAGACTGAGTGGTTGGCTCAGGGTCATTCTTTCTGCTCTACCCCTCCGTCAATCATTTCTCTGTATTTTCTTTATCTTTTCATTTACGCTTGTCTCTTCCAACCTACAGTAAGGATGTTGTCAGGTACTATGTGTACCAAACTGAAGAAGCATCTTCTCCTGTATTTCATGGGAAACAATACCATATGGCTCTGTGTAGCATGGTCACCATCAGCACCCACATTTTAGGGGTTTTAAAGACAAAAGTTTATTTCTCGCCCATGCCACCTGGGAATTCTACTTCTGTCCTCTCACTTCAGGTCCCAAATAATAGAATCATCAACATGCGTCGCCACACAGACTTTCACAGCTGGAAAGAACACAGGTGACATCCAGATTCAATTAATCAGGCAAAGCATTTCACTGCTGACTTGGGAAAGTAACATCCTAGGCATGCCCAGAAGGCCAACACCCAAATAAGACTGTGAGCAGTGCTGGTGACTACTGAATCTGCTACTTTAGCGACTCTTTGCCTTCCACAGGTAGAGTGAACTCCCCTCTCTGCAAGGGAGGCAACAAGGACCCACACTGTCACAGCATCAAGTCCAAAGTCCCTTCAGGAGGCACAGTGGTCACTGCATCAGTCAGGATGTATTTTCTCCTGACCTAAAGATCTAGAAACTAGGAAGACAAGTGACTACACTGTCTTCTATTGCATGCAGTTCAAGTGGAGGTGGGGAAACCTTCTGCTGTTACAAGTCACCATAAGTTTTTGGAGAATTGTGCATTACATGTCTATGGAAGATACTGGAAGAATGTTGTTGGTGAATTTAAATATGTACACACAATATTAAATATAGACACACATAAATATATGTGTCTGTGTACATATGTGTATGCCCATATATATGAATATATATATATATGCCCATATATATGGGCAGGAAGGATGGTATTGGAAGGAGGTTCATTCTAAGAAGTGATAGATGATGAGAACAGAGAGATGGCTCAGCAGTTCAGAGCACTTATTGCTCTTGCAGAGGATGCAGGTCTAGTACCCAGCACCCACATGGTGCCTCACAACCATCTGTAGTTCTAGTTCCAGGGGACCCAATGCCCTTTTCTGGTCTCCATAGGCACCAGGATCACATGTGGTGGATACGTAGATGTAGGCCAAATACTACACACATAAAGCAAATATTTTAAAAATTTAAAGAAGTGATAGGAGTTAGAGAAAACCGTCATTGGTTTGTGGCATGCTTAATGAACCCACGGCTCCAGGAGACACCAAAAGCACAAAAGAACATTGTATGTGGCTGACATTGCTATGATAGCCATTTTTTAGCAAGAAGTGGGCTTAGAAAAGACACAGCTGGTCAGGCCTGGTGGCACAGACCTGTAATCCTATCATTTGGTAGATGAAGGCAGAAGGTCATAAGTTCAAAGCCAGCCTGGGCTACATGAGACCCTATCTCAACAAACAAACAAAGCAAAAGAAAGACAATCGTTTTGCAAGTGGAGTGAAAGGGAATAAAGAGGAACTTTCGGGGTGGAGGAGATAATTGCTTCATAACTTCTTTTCTATTAGGAAAAGGTAAACCTGAGTAGTAGAGAGGTTTTTGGGGAGGTGGGGAGAGCTGTTTTTAGGACAAAGGTTAGTGAGGAATCAAGACCTCCAAACTCCACACTGTGACAAGGATAGAATCGAAGGTCCAGCTTGAACCCTGGTGACAAACAGACTTCACTCTGACAAACAACCCCCTCCGCACTTCCAGGCCACACTGCTCCAAATGATGCCCATGTGAAGCTTTGCAGGCTTCTGTGTCAGAGACCAAACCTAAATCCACTCCCCTACCGACTGGCAAAGGATACTAGAGATGACACTTATAATCCAGACTATCCTGGAGGATACTAGAAGACACTTTTCACATGCCAGACCTTCTTCCAAGGGCCAGAGAAACATAATCCTTTTCCCTGCCCAGATCAGTAAGAATCAAAAGTTCCTTAGCCATCTCCAAGGCACTTCCTGCCAATCTTTTAATATTAGCAAGGAGAATCTGTGAGATAAGCAACTTAGGAGAGTTGCCTTAGAGTCACTTGGCTAAATTAAATAGGTCCGCTGGCCACGGTTTTAGTTTCCTGCCGCAGAAATACTACAAGCTGATAGGTTAGCAACAGAAACCTGTTTTCTCACAGATAGGAAGGCTATCTGTCTGAAGCTGAAATGTCTGTCAGCAGTGTCTTGTCCTGTGACCTATAGGGAAGAATCCTTCCTTACCTCTTCATAGACTCTAGTGGCTTCCAGAAATCTCCAGCATTCCTTGATTTGTAGCTGCGTCATATCATTCTAATAACTGTCTCGCTCATTGTGTGACCTTCTTCTTTGTGTTTATTTTCAAAGTTCCCTCTCTCACAAAGACACGAGTCACTGGGTCAAGAGCTCAGCCTAATCCAGTATGTACGACTTCTTCTCAACCTGATGACATCTGCAAAAATCTTATTTCCAAAGAAGGAGAACTTCTGAGGTTCCAAATGAACATATTTTGTGTGTGTTGGGAGTAATATTCAAACTATTACACTCACCCCAAATTAATCTTGGGCCAATAAATAGAAAGAAATAATCACTGTTCGTTTAGATAATTGATTTCTGTGTTAACCATGTACCAGAGAACCTAGGTTTGTTTTTTTTTTTTTTAAAGGCTCAATGGCATTCTTGCCATGTTCTAAAGGTTGAGCACAGACATTTAAATTTTCAGAAACCTCTTCTTCACCCTAGGTGAATGGTCCCCCACTGCTGCACAGTGCCTTGCTGAAACCTTGAAGCAAATGGTGAGAGAGAAAAAAAGATGGTCTGTGTAATGTTACTGTACCCGAGTTGGTTTGGATTTTGATCACAGCACTGTGAATATTGTGTGTTCTGTGTTTGAAAGCAAATTGAAGTGTTTAGG